AACTTCATGAACCAGTAGAAACTGAGGCACCAATTAACACTGAAGAAGAAACCGCAGCACCCGAACATATTCCAGAGGAGGAAGATCATGAACCAGTTGAAACTGAGGCTCCTATTACCATTGAAGAGGGAACATCAGCACCTGAACACATTCCAGAAGGTGAACTTCACGAACCAGTGGAAACTGAGGCTCCTATTACCACTGAAGAAGAAACCGCAGTACCCGAACATATTCCAGAGGAGGAAGATCATGAACGAGTTGAAACTGAGGCTCCAATTACTACTGAAGAGGGAACATCAGCACCTGAGCACATTCCAGAAGGTGAACTTCATGAACCAGTAGAAACAGAGGCACCATTCACCACAGAAGAAGAAACTGTAGCACCTGCACATATTCCTGAAGAAGAAATCCATGAACCGATAGAAACAGAAGCACCTGTTACTGCTGAAGAAGGAACGGTTAAACCTGAACATATTCCAGAAGGTGAACTTCACGAACCAGTTGAAACTGAGGCATCAATTACCCCAGAAGAAGGAACTGCAGCACCTGAACACATTCCAGAAGAAGAAAGTCATGAACCAATAGAAACAGAATCACCTACTATTGTTGAAGCCAAACCAGAAGATGAGGAACATGAAGCCGAAACATCCGCACCTGAACATATCCCAGAAGGTGAAGAACAAGAGCCAGCACATACCGAGCCATCTATTACCTCCGAAGAAGGTACATCTGCGCCTGAACATATCACAGAAGGAGAAGTTAAACAGACTGAGGAACCTATTGTTTCTGAAGAAGGAACTGCCGCTCCAGAACAAACGATGCAAACGGAAGCACCTGAAACACCAGTCATTCATATAGATGTGACATCTTCGCCTGAACAAATTCCAGAAACTGCTGAACACGTCACCGAAGTTAAGGCCGAAGAGCATGTTGAAACTGAATTACCTGTTACTCAAGAAGAAGGAACATCCGCTCCAGTTGCCATTCCAGAGGAAGACCAACAAACCGAGGTGCAGGAACCTATCTCAGAACATACTGTGCAACCTGAGTCGCAAACCCCAGAAGAATTGTATACATCCGGACCAGCAGTTCCTACTGAAGCAGTTCCAACCGTCACAGGAGAAGAATTATACACATCGAGACCAACAGTTTCAACAGAAAGTGGCGCCGAAGAGGAAATGGAAATTACGCACGTCACAGAATCCGATGCCAGCGTGAAATTGCCAGAATCTGGTGAACACGTTACAGAACACAAACCTGAAGATATTCCAGTTATTCAGGAAGAAAGTAAACCAATCGAAGAAGGATCTGGAAGTCCTCCAACCGAAGAGAATATTATCGTAGATGATACCGAAGCATCTGGTGATGAGGAACCAGAAAGCTTCACAGATGGAAATGTACCAGTTATATCTACCGATAAATACGAGCCAGAAACTATCGAAGAAGAATTTACTCCGATGACTCCAGAAGTGGAATCTGAAATTACTAAACAACCTGAACAAGAACCGATCGTCACGGAACTTCCCGAAAAGGCTACGGAAATGGTAGCTGAAGAAATCACTGAAGGTATTTTGCATGAACCTGTTGAACCTGAAGTCACCGAAGAAGAGGAAGAAAAACCAGTCGAAGGAATTACCGAAAGTGACCAAGAAGCAGTTACTCCAGAAACAGAAAAGTCCAGTGAAAAACCGGTCGAAGAAATTACTGAAGAATCTGTCGTATCCGACGATAAACCATCAGTCACTGAGCTTCCATCCGAAGAAGAAATTACTCAACAATCTAGCATGACGGAACAACCAGAGGATGAAATTACTGAAGTTGAATCTGAAGAACCGATTGTCAGTGAGAAACCAGAAAAGTCTACAGAAGAACCACAAGCTGTAATTACTGAAGAACCAGCAGTTGTTACACCTGAAAGTGAAATCGTCACGGAGCAAGTCAAAGAATATACCGAAAAACCAGTTGAAGCAATTACTGAGGGAGATTTACAGGAACCTGCAGTTTCTGAAGAGGAGCCCACTGTCACCGAACAACCGGAAGACTATTCGCATAAGCCAGAAGAAGAAATTGGTAGCGGTGAATTGCAAGAACCAATTACTGAAGAGGGTGAACATGAAGAAGACCTGCAAAAACCTGCAACAGAAATGAACTTAACCGAGCAACCGAAGGAAGGAATTACAGAAGAAACGAGTAAACCAGACAAAGAATACAGCGAAGAATCTGCCACCAAGGAAACAGAAATTGCCACCGAATTGCCAAAGGAGACTGAAGTGCAAACAGAGGGTGAACATGTTATTCCTGGAGAAGGCAGTTGTCTCGTCGATGGTCAAACTTATGCGAATAACACCAGCGTACCAACAATTAATCATTGCCAAACTTCGTGCAAATGCATTAGTTCCATATTGCAATGCGAATCTGTCACGTGTTCTCCAGCTCCATCGAACTTGCAAAATTGCATGCCAGTCTACCACGGTCCAGATAGTTGTTGTCCTACATATAGTTGCAGTAAGTATTATTTAACATGAATAAAAATACATCTATTAATTAATGTTTCTCAACTACTAGGTGTACCTACTCAAGAAGAGATGGAATCCGATAGTCACAAAGTGGACGAAGAGACCGAAACTCCAATTGAAAGCAGCACTGATGATTTAGAAAAGCAATCAACTGAAAAGCCTGAAGAATATGGTATCACCGAGCCTGCTGTTGAGATTCCAGAACATGAGACTGAAGCCGTTGTAGCAGAAGATGAAGTTAAACAAGAACATGAGACTGAAGTGCCTTCGACTGTAGAAGGTGAGACTGCAACTGAAAAGAGCAGTGAAACTGAAGCACCTACCGTTGCTGTCGATATTACTGAGAGCGGATCAACTGAACCAGAATCAGTTCCTCAACAACCAATTGTGCCTACTGAACCGTGCCCAGAAGGAGCAGTCTGTGAACCAACCCAATCAATTCCAGTGCCTATTCAACCGTGCCCAGAAGGATCTGATTGTGGAACGCGACCAACGGAACCGTGCCCAGAGGGTGCCATCTGCGGAGCTGACATCCCAGTACAACCTTGTCCAGAGGGAACTTCTTGTGACCAGAAACCAGTTGAACCTTGTCCGGAAGGTGCCGTTTGCGAACCAACTCAATCGATCCCAGTGCCCGTCCAGCCATGCCCTGAAGGATCTATTTGCGACCAACAACCAACGGAACCTTGTCCAGAAGGAGCCATTTGCGAACCAACCCAATCGATCCCAGTACAGTTGGGCGGACAACAGCCAACCGAACCATGCCCAGAAGGTGCCATCTGCGAACAAACACCACAAAAACCAGTGAGCATTCCAGAAAAACCGTGCCCAGAGGGAACTGTTTGTGAAACTGTAGAACAAGTCCAAACACCGGAATGCAAAGAAGGAACTGATTGCAAGGACTCCAATATTCCTGTCGCCGAATGCAAAGAAGGCGAATGCCAACCGGAAATATCCGAACCGGCAATCGTTCCCGTCTGCGAAGGTGAATTGTGTCAACTACCACAGCAACCAACTGAAACACAAACCATGAAATCGATGGAACCAGAGGAAGAAATCATTACTGAAAAGACCGTGACCGAATCCGAGATGGAATACGTAACCGAAGGCGTATCACACACCGGACAACCAATGGAATCTGCCGAACACGTAACAGAAAAGAAACCAGAGGAAGAAAGCGTAACTGAAATTTCCGTAGAAAAAGAAACATCTTCTCCTGAAAGCAAACCAGCCACTGAACCAATTATATCTGAAGAAGATAAACATGTAACCGACGCTCCAGTTACTTCAGAGGAAGAAACTGTCACTGAGCAAGTTGAAACTGGAACTGAAAAGGAGAGACCAGTGGAATCGGTCACTGTTCACGACATTAAAGAGCAGCCTGAATTAGATGAATCGCACACCGAATACACACCTAAAGAATCTGATAAGGAGACGCCAGAAGGTCAAACTGAATATGCTCCAATGGAACAAGAAAAGGAAAAGCCAGAAGTATCTGTTGTTGAAACTGCTGAGAAACCGACAGAAGTTGAAACAGAACAAGCTGTTACTGAAATGGAAGAAGTACAACCCGAACATATCGCAACTGAATCTGGAGTAGAACAACAACCTGAAACGGAGCATACGCCAACTGAAGCTGAACAAGAACAACCTGAACATGTACCAACTGAAGCTGGAGAAGAAAAAGAACCTGAACAAGTAGCAACTGAAGCTGCTGAAGAACAACCCGAACATGTTCCAACTGAAGTTGGAGAAGAAAAAGAACCAGAAATTAGACCAACAGAAGTCGTAGAACAAGAACCAGAACATGTAACAACTGAAGCTGGAGAGGAACAATTACCTGAACACTTGCCCACTGAAAGTGAATTAGAACATGAAGGTGAACAGGTGCCGACTGATGCTGGAGAGGAGCAACAACCTGAGCATGAACCAACTGAAGCTGAAGAAGTACAACCTGAACATGTACCGACTGAAGCTGCAGAAGGTGAACAACCTGAACATGTACCAACAGAAGCACCAGAACAAGAACCAGAACATGTACCAACAGAATCTGAAAGTGAACAAGCTGAACATGTACCTACAGAATCTGAAGGTGAAGTAGAAAAAGAACCAGAGCATGTACCAACAGAATCTGAAAGTGAGCAAGCTGAACATGTACCTACAGAATCTGAAGGTGAAGTAGAACAAGAACATGTAGCAACTGAATCTGAAGAAGAACATACTGAACATATTCCAACTGAAGCTGAAGAAGAAAAGGAACCAGAATATTTACCAACTGAAACTGAAGATGAACATACTGAACATATTCCAACTGAAGCTGAAGAAGAACATGTAGCAACTGAAATCGGTCAAGAACAACCTGAACAAGTTCCAACTGATGCTGGAGAAGAAAAAGAACCTGAACATGTACCAACAGAATCTGAAGGAGAACAACCTGAACATGAACCAACTGAAGCTGCCGAAGTAGAACCTGAACATGTGCCAACTGAAGCTGGAGAAGATAAAGAACCAGAGCATGTACCTACAGAATCCGAAGGTGAACAACCTGAACATGTACCTACAGAATCTGAAGGTGAAGTAGAAAAAGAGCCAGAACATGTACCAACAGAAGCTTCAGAACATGTACCGACAGAAGCTGTAGAACAAGAACATGTACCAACTGAAGCTGAAGTAGAAAAAGAACCAGAACATGTACCAACAGAAGCTGAAGGCGAACAACCTGAACATGTACCAACAGAAGCACCAGAACAAGAACCAGAACATGTACCAACAGAATCTGAAGGTGAACAACCTGAACATGTACCAACAGAAGCACCAGAACAAGAATAAGAACATGTACCAACAGAATCTGAAGGTGAAGTAGAAAAAGAACCAGAACATGTACCAACAGAATCTGAAGGCGAACAAGCTGAACATGTACCAACAGAAGCACCAGAACAAGAA